ATTTCGTAGTAACTTCCTGGTATTGTCAAAAAACGGACTTCATGCATTAACGACAAATTTACTGCTTTAAACTTTACTACTTATATGGGTTGTCAGTAGGTTATCAATAACATGGAAAATGAAAAGCGACCTTAGTGTTGAGTTTAAGACTGATGAGGTTTTGTAAATTAATTTATTGGAACCGAATTCACTTTTTCGAGTTATCCATTTTATAAGTTGAATATCTGAGCTTCATAATAATAGATTATATTAAGGAACAATTCAAATTGAAATTTTGATTGAGATCATGAACTGATTGATGTTAGACCACCACCTTTGGAAACCTGGAAGCACTGGACGGTCGTTTCGTCCTATTGTGGGACTACTCAGTAGTGCGCATCAACGATCCCGCTTACAGGATTCAGACTCAGGACCTTCAGTCCCAGGAGCGGGATCGTTGATGCGCACTACTGAGTAGTCCCACAATAGGACGAAACGACCATCCAGTGCGTCCAGGTTTCCAAAGGTGGTGGTCTAACATCAATCGGTTCATGCTCTCAATCAGAACTTAATAATCTCCACAATCCTATACTGACAAATTGAAATTCACAAATTCTTGATTTCATTTTAACACTTCCTTGAATTCATGATGATTGTACATAATTTGCAATTATTTTATGCGGTAATAACGAGTAGTTAAAGTGGACAAAAAAGTTCGAAATATTTTGACGGAGAGAATTCAGAATTATTTTAAGAAATATTATGACTAAAACTATACTGATTGCTTGCTGTGAACAAGGCGAGTCCGATGTAGACGTAATGGGGAGGATTTCAAAGCAAAGACGACATTCCTACAGTTGAACAGCATATGGAACTCAAAACAACCAATATCAAAGTCATATTCTTCAATACGAATGTCAACAAACTTGGTTCTATTCTATGGATCTGAATGGTGTAGATCTACCACAATCGTCACCAGGAAGGTACAAGTATATATAAATAGTTGTTTATGCAGCATACTCAGTGTCCATCGGATGGATCTATCAGCATCAGCCTACTGTGGGAGAGGACAAATCAGCCCCCAGCTGAGGAGGAAATTAGAAAAAAACTACGGAAGTGGATAGGACATCCATTGAAGGAATCATCAAACTGCATCATGAGACAAGCCCTAACTTGGAATCCTGAAGAGAAACCGAAAAAGGGAAGACCAAAGAACATATTGCGTAGAGAATTGGAAGCATACATAAGAATGATGAATAGCAACTGGGAAGGATTCCCCAGTTAAAGGTTCGATGGAGAATGCTGGTGCGTGACTTATGCTCCTACACTAGGGTAGCAGGCGTAAATAAGTAAGTGATTGCTGAGCGTTTTTAAATACCAGTAAGCATCTCATGTAGAGCATAGTAAATAATAAACACTACGAAATCATTAAAAAAAAATCAAATTAGATGGAAATCCATAGTCACCAGACCAGATCAAAGGTGCGATTTAGTCATTTTAAACAAGAATGATTGTATGGATGAATCTTCCACTCGATAATTCCCTATCTTACTGGAGATTTTTGAACTCTATTGAGATCATGAAACATTGTAAGTTAGACAACGCTAACTCTGTGTAATGAATGTCAGGAAACAACAGCTCTGAACGTGTCCGATGGGGTTCAGTCTGGAACTGAAGTCAAAAAATTAGTATATTTTTACTTGATCTCTTAAAAACAAATTCGAGAGATTTATTTAGAAAAAGTGCTGATACGTCTCTGACAAACTGTCGATATTGCTCACGAACACTAATTTACAGTCTGATCACTACTTAGTTTTCCTGGACAGTTAATGAACACACGATTTCCGAAACAATTTATCCGACTGACTTTCTCATGACCATCTCGACATGTTATAAAAGAATTAGTGATTGACACCAGACACATTGTATTTACAATTCACCACATTCGTAATTATTGGATTACATGGTATTTCATCATATGGTTCAGGACTTTTAAATACTCATATTCTGTGTGACATGTCCAGTATAGAAACTTGCAAAAGTATCCATTCGTTCAAGTTCCCACATCGTACTAGGTTGACGAGATAAAACTATCAAGAGACGTCCAATAGTAAAGACCAGATTGAAAGAAAAAACACAAAAGGAGACTTCGGCACTCGAGTTTTAAGGGAACATAAACAGTGAGTGGACACACACCCTTACAAACTACTTTGGGCCATGTCACCCAAAGCATCTAACCAATGGTTACAATAGTGAAGTAGATCATAACCAGGTGACCTATAACTTCGTACATCACTCAGTCAACAACTTTATGGACTGACATCATGTCTTGATTTGGCCACTCTCGGCATCGATCCAATCTATGTCACACTAAACACTGCACGCCGAGGTAGGCAGTGGTTGGGTGTACATCGTACATATTATAACCACCTCAATTGGTGAAGATTCGCTACTTTCCATCTCTACCTAGTACTCTGTTTGACTCACTAGATGGTCCCATAATACATGAGCGATAGTTCAAAAACGCCTGTGATCGAATACTAGTAACCTACGAATATGCTCTATTCTTAATGGCCGGACTCCAGACCTATAGGGCAGAGCGGACTGCTGGGCAGTGAACTTGTCCCTTGGTTGGGAAATTGATAACTTGCCTATGCCACAATTTACGTAAGTTGTTAGGAGCTAATCGAGCTTTCTGAATCTGCGCTGTGATTTCATCAAACACTAGCCGACAAAGACGGACGAGATATCTGAGATAAGGAAGGCGGGACTAACAAACAAAACAAATTTCCTGACTCCTTGCTATTCTGTAGCTTCTATAACACTACTGTGATTGAGTGTTATCTACAGAGGCTTGTTAACTGTTCAATCTCTCAGTTAAGTGCACAATTGAAGTGTTCTGCAAAAAATGGTTAGAAGCTCTTGCTTCCCTGAATGCTAGTTGTGTACATGACTCACTAAGACTCTAGGACGAGCTTAAGATGAAGCAATTTTCTTTACCTACCACTGAAGTCTTTACATTTTAGGTGATGGAAGAGATTTGTATCGCAGGCGGACGCTTTTGGATGTGCTTGGTGGCTTGATTGGGAAGCTTCAACGTCGCTCCGGACATCGTTAGTGCATAATTCACACAAAAGTAGCTGATTTAATTAATCTACAAGCGCTAAGTCAGCCTGTTCTGACGAGTGTTTGGATAGTTCTTTTCAGGAGTGGAGTAAGAATTTAGCTGTCTGAGATGATAATTAGAGCTTCGCAATTAAACCACCTAGTTTATCGTGCTTACCAAACTTATATCAAATTCAAAAAGGATTAAAAGTGGTGCAGTCAGAGCATGACGTCACCGGCTGTCAATAACCAAGCAGATAGAAATAGGTCTCCTAGTTGACTAATTAATTGTTTGAATATTCTGGTGACAACAAACTCGCTGTTAGTGGGACATCTTTCAAATTCCTAAACATTATTTCTACAATACACTTTACTTTTCTCTTACTATCTCTACCGTCTTGGTTATTCACTACTAGTGGAGTAAATGACATTTGAACTAGAAAATTCCTGCATCATATACATCTACATAATTGGAAGTTGAGTATAAACAGCCAATGAGCTAAGAAGCATACACATAATTGTTATCCGGGTTTTAGTCGGAGTGCACATTTTACTCTGTTGACTAGTTACACATAAAAATGAAGACAAAAACCGGTATATGAATCAGTAGGATGAATTATGGTAAGTCATAATACTTGAGGACTGATGACGACTGGACAGAAACAATTAGATCTTTCATGGATGTTAAATACAAGAAATGTAGTCGTAACCACTTAATGATAAAGATCTTCATTCACAAATAGACTGATCAACATAAGGTTATTGGCATTATTTCCCTGGAAGCTGTTCTTCTTAGCACTCATTATCCGAACTTTTTTCGAATTCAGAACTTCAAATAACTAACTCTAATGTTGTGCTGTGAACATGTATTATATGGAAACCACTGTAATGAATAATTTATCAGAAGTGGGTTATGAACCAGAAACCTAGAGGTTGATTGCTGGATGTCAAAAACGACGAGCCAGAACTTTGCGTAATATACAGCTATGGAATGCAAGAAAACTGAGGTAAACCATTTGACTCACGATTTATTTCTCGTAAATACAACCCAAATTTGATGTACGACAACCACCACATAAAAAACGTTTATTTAGTCTCTAGATTATCCCTCAGTATTTTAATCACAAAAGTCAGACAGCGTCTTATTATAAACTAGTTTTCTTTGTTCAGTCTAACTACTATGTAGCTATAGTTGATAATATTATGTAAATAACACAGACAGCTACTAGTACAAGAAATATTCATTATTCGAGCAAACTTTAGGTAACAAGTCAATGGCTATATTAAGTGGGCAGTTTGCTATTGGGAAAAATACAATGGACTGCTGAGAATATAGTATATAATAGAATAGAGAAAATAATTCACCACTTAGAGAGCGCTGAAGCGAAAATTGGTTGGACTTTAGTTAAACCGACTTAATGTAATGCGGATTTAAACCTAGTTGGAGGGCGAAACTCGTAATCTATAGTGAAACATGTTTCGAAAATATTATTGATCTAATACTCTTCACACTAAATATCGAAATATTATAGCATAAACCACGGTTACATTATTTATTTCCAGCATGACAAAGATTATTGCGCCGGCTGTGTTCTGAATAAGAATGAGAAGTCCATTATAAGTCATATTGACAATTCACAAACAACCACGTACCAATTTATAAATAAAACAAAAGGGAAACCGAAAGAAAAATCACTGAATTTAGAGTTACTATAGGCAAGAGCATACCAATACGAGCACAACAGTGACTGAATTATAATATAACAGGTGTACTCAGAGATCAATAAGTGGAAAGAAAAATAACACAGTTACGAATAGGAATGAAAAGTTCTGTATACTGTACAACCAGAAACGGTTAAGCCCTAAAAATAGTGGAAGCACTATGAGTTAGTTACAAAACAAAGATGATTTGTCAATTAAACTAATCTCCGAACTTCAAAGAAACGTTTGAGATAGAAAACTTGGCCGATACTCATGGCTATGATTAGAAATGCTTCGAACGCAGCCCAAACGACCACGCGAAAATTGGTATTCTTATTAACTAAAAAAAAATTGTTGTTCACATAATACACATACTTTCCCAGTGTACTTGAGTCCTAACAGAAACATATTCCATTTCTAACTTGACCCCAGAGATGGAGTGTGACAACTCATTAACCATTGTTACAAGCTTTTTGTGCTCCTCTATGTGAAAATAACGGTTGAAGTTCTAATTTACCATCGTCAGTTTCATTTACTTTCAATTGGTCTTCTTCTATAGCCATTTCAAAAAGTACAACTTTCGGTGTCATAGAGCTCATCCGATTTCCAAAGCAATACTTGTACTCACCAGCTTCGTTTGCAGCAAATTCAGGCCTTCCATTGGACTTCCTGAGAGACTCGAAAACCTTAGCCCCACTAGGATTGTAAACCTACAAGTGTCAGTTAACTGAACTAAGTGAAATTACATTAACATCTATATCAAGGAAACCACCCTCAGCAACTTCATAGTGAAGCGTGAGCTTGCTACCACTGGCAACCCGATCAAAAAAGCACTCTTCCGAATTAGCATCTACTACTACATAGTAGCCGTGACAATAAGTAACAAGCGAGGTGAAGAAAAGCACAAACATCCACATTTTGAAATAATGACTTTAATTTGGCTGACGAGGACAGAGTCGCCAGCATGAAATAACAATTTCAATGTACAATGTCAGACTTCAGTCTCCAGCAGTAAGGATATGAGGTTAGTGAAATACACTAATCCTTGTAATTTTAAATGCTTTGGAGATCCAATCTTACCTCATCTATCAACAGGTGATGATATTGCGTGTTACGGTAGAGAGTTCTAGTAATTGGATTGGTTTCAAATGGTTCTGGAGGGAATAGGAAGAGATTTCGCTCATATCTAATAGCAGTAGATCACCGATGAAAGAAAAGAAAAAAGAATTAGTAAGTTATGGCGAGAAGCTGTTGTAGCGGCAAATAAATCCCCATAATAAATAGCTCTGTAAGTTTTCGACACTGGATGCTGACCACATCAGTTTCAGTGGACTCACATAACCGGAGGCGCTCGGTCATGCATCCGCACTAGATCACGAGTGAGAAGGCTGTGCTCAACAACCCTTGCAATCGCTAGCCAGATCAGATCAGCCGATCCTCGATATATTGATAGTCTATCAAATATATCTCCGAACCTCCTGGCCTCTGTCGTTTGATTTCACTTGGTGGGCATGATTCATAGTAGAAGGTGTTACTGGTTAAAGCGTTGTCAAACTCCGAATACCTGTGGCATCTTCACTGTCTTTAGTCCCTAAGAACATGTCAAGTTTTCTCTTAAATACTCCTTGAAAGTCTCTTGAACCAGAATTCCAGCATTTGAACACTCTTAAGGAATAGAAGGTACGTCTACAGTCATGCTGTGTTTAAGGGGAAGCCAAGAAGTGTTTAGGATGCACTTCTAAGACCCTACACATACACACTATACACTTTCATCAAGATTGACAAACTATTGAGTGCACACTTTATCTGCTACCAAGCAAGATCGCAGGTACAGTGCCACTCCTCCCCCACTGCTGTTTTTCTGTTGTTATGAAACAAAGGCACGCCGCACTTTGTACAATCATATTTCTTCCGCAAAAGAACTTATTGCAAGGTTCCTAAGGGATATTCCGGATGAGATAGTGCTCAGAATATGGTATGTGAAGCAGTATTCTTACATCCGATTTCAGAAGGTGAATGTCTAACAGAGCATCACCTACATCAGTAGTGTTTGTGAACTTTACATGAATGAGTCTTGGGTGATTTCAGTGCTTGGAGTTCGTCTGGCAAGTGAGCCGTATAACGGTCAGTGGTTCAATTTCGAGATGTTTGGGCTTCCTGTTCAACTCTTCCCAGAGAATCTTGTCATTCTTATCTTGAAGATTGAGCGGATGATCAGAACCGTTTTTAAGGCCCGTGATTATGAACCACCACGAACCGGGATCATCTTACCAGGTTTCCCGGTACGTTGAGGTGGTCGGAAATTTTGTTCGGTAGTTGGAATGCGTTTCGGATTACCGTGCTCTTTGCAAAAATGGTCCGTGTGCTAATTAAAAACGGCAGTGGTATTTTTCCTCGCTGAGTAAATTTTATTGTTTTGATCGTTGATTACGTATCAAGACTACTGTTTTCGCTTTATTTGAATTTATTTCAGTTAAAGTATCCAACTAGAGTATCGTTTACTGTTTCTCAATTAGTTTATCGTCGGTACTCTTGAGTACCTTATTTTCTACTGTATCTGTTAGTACATTTGGTCCTCACAACCTACAGTTCTGCACTTTTTTGGTCATAGATCATTTTTTGTCTCTAAGCATTATTGCATTTCGCTGGCAGTTGCCAACGTCCGGGTTGTTGTTATCCCGTTGAAAGCAGCATGCAGTGTGACGAGTGCAAAGGCTGGTACCACGAATTTTGCACGATTTAACTCCTGCGGCTTTCAAAAGGTTCAGTAAAAAGGGTCGCGTTTGGCTTTGTCAACAGTGCTGTTCGGATGCAAACAGCTTTTTAACTGAAGCCATCTCACTGGTAGATCCTGCGAAAAAGTGTTTTAGCGTGGTTGGGACACATCAAACAGCACTCGCTCTGTCGACACGCAAATTGATGTGAAGCAAACTCAGGTGAGTTCGAAAATAGGTGAATCACCTCGACCAAAGGAGCAAATACAGTCTCCAAAGAGGTCTGTCTTAAACACAAACTCAAGAAAAGAAGGTTCTTCTGTTCCCCGCCTTCCAAATGGCATCCAGCATGAGACACCTGGAGGCCGCAATCGCAAGGATCGATCGGTTTCTAGCGGGAAACATAACCTGACCTCTCAGGTCGTCGACAACCCCTCGGAATCTAGCATTAGGTTTGACGCAACTGTTGTTGCTTCTCCTAGTACCGTTGACGAACGGGTTCAGGTTGTAAGGAAGAAACAACGTAGCAATAAAATAGGGAATCCTAACACCGTGTAGTAGTCGATAAATCGAAGGCTGATCACAGTGACAGATCAGTTATTTTTCATAGAATCAAAGAGAGTGAGAGCTCTGAAACAAAAGCTCATTTTGAGCATGACATTGTGCTGGTTAAACAGCTGCTTAATCAACTCATGACTCAAAATATCACCGGTGTCACCTTGCTAAAGGTGTACAGACTGGATAGTTTAGCGAACTTGAAACCTAGTCAATCCAGACTGCTTAAAGTAGTATTCAAATCTTCGAACGAACGCGACCTAATTTTACAGAATGGACATAAATTAAAGGGTTCAGGAGCTTTCATCCGTAAGGACTTACCGTTGGCAGACCGTGTAAAAAGTCGGGGAGTCGAAAAATAACTACAACTTAGTTTAGACGCTGACGAAAAGGACATAAAAATTGAAAAATTTCGGTTTGTAAGGCTTCGACAGAGAATGATGCCGAAGCCACTCTGGCTGAAGCACGAAGTCACTTAAATAGGTGTAGAATTATAGTCTACTATGATATTAGTACTGCTCTAATAATAGACCTAATCCTAAATTTGTAGATTTGTCATGATATAACTGCCTAATCTATAAGATCTTACGTGGAAGTCACACCATCGACTACACCAACTCACTGTATCATATCAATTACCAATACATGATGAAGAACAAGGTTAGGCTAGAGAAAGAACAATATATTTAATATGAATAGAAGATATAAGGCGACATTCAGCAGAGACCACGCCTGCATGGCCGAGCCATGCCACTCGATCAACTCCAGTCCATTCAATTCATTCTTCGCGCCTTCTCCATCGTTAGGTATTTATCCGCGTTAAATATTGAATATCTACTTTCTGAGTAGTCTCGTGTTCAACTTTGTGGATTGTGCGGTTATTGTTCAATGCCACTACACTACTCTCCCACCAGAATCAACGTGATGTTGGTTCGATACCGAATTGGATGGAATCGTCGTGCGCCGAAGGTTACCAAGACTAGGAAGAATCCCCCGGGTAATGATAAGCTGAAAGATAAATCAAAAAGAAGGCGGCAGCATCTGGTCGGGAAATACTTGTAATAATTTTAAAATATCTGCCTTCATGCTTAAAACGCTTGAAATGGAAATTTGGGTGAAGATTATTTGAGCTATAAAAAATGGGGTTACAATAATAATAATAATAATAATAATAATAATAATAATAAAACGATGCGTGTTAATAGCCGTTGGTTAATAACTTAACGTATAGGTAGTAAGTATTTTGTGTTTGAAAATATTAAAGTAATGAATATTGTAGAAATGTTAATATTGGTATTAGTTTTGGTTTAAATTATGAAACCAATTAACAATTATGCCGGTAACCCGTCCATATGTGATTTCCAATTGCATCTGTATTAGTAGGCTAACTGGGAGAACAAAAGTATTACCATGGAAAAGAATTCCAACTAGTGTTCCAGTTAGTTTGATACGGTTTATTTAGTTACGGGGAGATTTTCTCAACCTCGTTTTTACTTAACCGTGATAGAATTTATTAATACTACTAATACACATGAATGGTTACTAAAACAAAATTTCAATACATGAGTGGTAATTATATGAGTTTTGGACAGATAGCTAAGAACAAATCGTTAAACATGAGTGTATTCGTAAGAGACATGCTCTAGACTCAATGTTCTGAGTTGCCATAGACTATTTATACATATTTACACCTGACGGCTGATGATGCATACAAGTTAGTTGCAAGTATGCAGTTTATCATAAGGCGGAATACGATTCAATTGAGATATAGTGATTATAAGTTACTGAAATCAGTTAAGTCTATATACTACATTACTAGGTGATATGCTGCAAGATGTATTCAGCTAAATAAGTTTTTACAAGATAATTAACAGTGATTGACGCTCATGTGATTACCAGGGAGGAAACAAGTTGTAGCCAAAAGGAGTACACTCCCAACTCATGTCTATGATAATGGCTTGAACCTTAGTCAGTGTTGGGGTAAATTCGACATTGATGTTTTCAGTTTGCAGGAGATTTGCTCGACTGCTTATACTGATTTTTTGCATGCATGATTGTGTCGCTAAACCATCAATTAGACTGACAAGGTTTTGAGATATTTACTGAATGAGCAACTGATAGAGAAACATACTGTAATCATCTGTGATGGATGAAGATACCAAGAAAACAACACCATTTAATTGTGATTATAAGTCAATTTGTTGACCGATTTCGTTAATAGTTTCATTAATTTTATCAGTCATATTACGTGATTGTCAAGTCATGACAATGCTTTATGACGATATCCTGAAACTATTAAATTTAACTAGTTATAGTGTTGATTGAGGATT